TCTATTTACTAGTGTGAAATAAATATATTAGAATTTATAATAAATCAGAACTAAAAATAAGAAAAGAAAATATCAGATAACCTTGTAAAAACATCAAAATGCATAATAAATCAGTAAATTGTCATTTACTAATTTGTTATTGATCTTAGTTTCTTAGCTTTATATAATGGTTGGGATAGTCTAGAAATATGTATTAATGCTTTTTTTATCATTTTACAAAATATCTTTGCATATTTCCACATATTTCCACAATGTCTCTAATTTTTACAATATTTCCCCTCGACGTTTCCGACATGTCCTATATTTTGGTAAGCGACATTTCCATCGACATCGACATTTTAAACTTTGGAGCTACCTCAAAGTGGTAATCATCCCCATTCATCATCTCTAAGCCTTATCCAAAGGCTATTGCTCAAAGTGGTAATTATCTCCATTAGGTAGGTGATAATACTATTGCTCCAGAGGTCCTTTGTGAACAGGAAACTCAATCCAGGCAAAGACTTGGGCAGCACTCACATGTCTAAGGAGGCTAAATTCTAAAAGCTTTGAACTTGAAGGAGGTAGAAGTTGAAGGTGATTAAAGAACAGTCATTGTGTGGTTAAAGGATGAGTAGAAGGTAGACTAGAGATATACATATGTCTTCAGAGAGTTAAAAAGAATTATTGAAGACCTGCGGGCACAAGTGAAATGGATTCCAAGGGCTGCCAATGGGTTGGCAGAGATGAACTAGCAAAACAAGGGGTATCAAGGGATCAATTGTACTAGGACCAAACTGGTTAAGATTTTCCCTTTTTTGGAGGTTATCCAAGGCTAGCCTCCTTAGTTGGGTACTTTCTAATTAATAAAATTCAGTGATGTTCTTCTGTACTCCATATAGCACCAGTCGTTTTTACTAGGGAATATGTATATTCCAGTAATATTTCATGTCAGTACTCGTGGAAATGGAAATTGTCATAGAAATGTTAGGAAATATGTAAGGTATTGCAGATGATATTTTATCTTTCCTGGAGACCACCTATGAACAACTAAAGAGTTTAATATGATTGTTACGATGGTTCGAAGAGGGATCAAAGCTAATAATGAATTTCTGAGTTATATTATCTTGATTGGCTGAGGAAGTGGAGAAATGGTGAGATCACTAGAATGTAAGGAGCCATTCTCCGCATCAAATACTTAAGCTTACCTTTATGGGGCAAGTGCACTTCAAATTCCATTGGGGCCCCATTGTGGAGAATTTTAAAAAGGGTTGTACTCATGGAAATCGAAGTATTTATCCAAAGGGTAGAAGGCTTTCATTGATAAAAAAAGTACAGTCAAATTTGTCCGTCTATTTCTTTAACTTTTTTTTTATGCAGAAGGCTATAATAATCTAACACAAGATAGAATCACCCCTGCTCCAGCCCTCAATATATATTTGTAGATCTTGGCACTTGGCAGGTTATCACAAATGAGTTTTAATCCAAGACTGAGAAATATAGAGAGAAGGGAGAGAGGGTAGAGAAAGAGAAGAACCCCAAGGAATCTCTCCAAGGGACCTAGAATCACTCTAAGGTTTGTAGGAATCACTCCATACAGAGAACTTACAAAGAGCTCTAAAGAAATCTTAATAGCTTCAAAGGAAGAGAACACATTTATTTATAGAGTAACTTGTGTGGCCCTGAATACTGTTCATCATAATTCCCAAAACACCACTCCTTGTCTTATGCATTGAAAAACACAATAAATTTCCACTTAATAATGCAAATAAACTGAAAATTAAAAGATAAGCCCTACTAAACTAAAAAAGCAAGATACCATGGGCTAGACCCACATGGAAATGGACAAAATGGCAAAAATATGCCTACTATCCAAAAATACAGAAATACAAAAAAAAAAATCAGAAAATTCCAAATTTGATTCTTCAGCTCCTGCATCATTTTCCCAATTCCAACAAAGGTGGCCAAGAAGTTAGAAAGAATCCAGGGGGAATTCCTCTGCAGAGGGTAGAGGGAAAAGCACAAATTCCACCTTGTCGAGTGATCTCTGAGGGAGGTAGAATGTTTAGGCATCACCGCATCAAGAAACAAAAGTCATTAATAGAGCTCATTGGACAAGTAGCATTGGTGATATAGTGAAGAAATCAATAGCTAGTGGAGACAAATTAATGAAACAAATTTTGGAGATAGATCAGCAATTGGGACCCTGGTCAGGTAAATTACTCACATGGGCGCTCTGTATGGATTGAAATTGAGAACTTCTTCACTTCTTTTATTTAAGGTTATATCTTACAAGGTGAACAATAGAGAAATGATGATTTGATAATAACCCTCTCTCAGATCTTTTCCCGAATCTTTTTTCAGTTGCTAAAAATAAGGATGCAACAGTTGCTCTATATTTTTAAGTAATTGATAATAATTTAGCTTGGTTACCAAGGTTCAATAGAAATATTCAGGACTAAGAGGTGGATAAAGAAGAAAATCTCTCTCAAGTTGCAAGAAAAAAAAAAGATCCTAAACTTTGATTCTAATGACTGCAAATTTTGGAGATGAGAAAACAATAGAAATTTCTATGTTCAATATTTTGCAAATAATCTGAATCCACCAAGTAGGATTTTATTTCCATATGGAGTTGTTTGGGAAACTCCAGCACTCATGGTCTGGACTGCTGCTTTAAGAAAATGCCCAAGTAGGGATAAGTTAAGTAGTGGGGGCATGATCATTCCAGATACAAGTTTTTTTTTTTTTTTGCAATTGTTAACTGTAAACTGCAGACAACCTCTTTGTGGACCGTGCAATCATATTTTTAAGCTCTGGACTATGATTCTTTGAGCCTATCCTGGACCCTCCCAAGAGCCACAAGGAACATGATACCATCAGTGTTTGGTATATGATACCAATAGAAGGGGAAGGCTGATTTGGTATATGATACCATCAGTGTTTAAAAGCGAAAGGCGCAAGGGCCATTTTGCGCCTGAGGCGCAAGGCGCACAATTTAAAAAATAAAAATAAAAAAATGCCAAATATTCAAAAAAAAAACAAAAAATTATAAAACATAATATTAATAAAAATATAAACTTAAATTTTAAAATAAATGTTTTAAAAAACCTATTATCTAAAATTCAAATACATAAACATAATATGTAAAGCATATTCAAATGAGAATTTAAAAATGAAATCAAACATATAAAACATTTTCAAGCATATAAAACCCACAATCTCTTTTTTCTCAATTAAATCAAGTAGCTAATGTGGCATATTACATTCCTAATTCTACGAGCCGCCTTTGTGCCACGCCCCTCGAGGCAAGCCCAAACAAGTCCATGTTAGGGTCTTAAATTCTGAGTTTTTTGAGAACCCCCTATTTGGTAATGCTGCCCATTCATTCATCCTAATAAAATATCTTCTTAAAAGCAATTAAAACTACAAAATCATTATTTTTTGTGTGAAAACTCAGAATTTAAGACCCTAACATGGACTTGTTTGGGCTGGCCTCAAGGGGCGTGGCATGGGGCTCCGGGGGTGGAGCCCCCGGCCCAGCCGCTAGACTCAAAAAAAGGAAAAAGCGTCATATTTTCAAAAGGCGCATGCCTGGGCTAAGGCGCACCAGGCGTGCGCCTTTTGAATGGGCTGCGCCTAGGACCTGGGCGAGGCGCCTACCCTAAAATGCACCTCACCTGTGCGCCTAGGCGCGCCTTTTAAATCACTGATTTGCAGTCATTTGATCAGTGTGGATTGAAAGAAACAATCAAGTTTTTGAAAGAAAACTTGGAAGGGAAGATGTTAGAGATGGATTTTGGCAAGCTTTAACCAAATCCTAGAAGAAGAAGATTAGAAGAAAAAATAGAAGACCATTCAGAGAAAAAGCCCAACTTCTGAGCAGTATTTGTACAGAAAATTTCTCTTGATCCACCATTGGAATGAGCTGAAAATATGGTACATTAGAGTTCTTAGAGGCTAGAAGGAACACACAAATTTTCAGAAAGATCACATCTGGGGAAGGCCTTCATCGGGGCACAATAAAGTCGCTTGATTCCATTGACTATTGAAATTTGGTCAATGGTCAAAGTCAAACATTTGGCGAGTGGACCCAACTATTTAACTCCCCAGTCTAGAAACTTTAAAGTTTCATTAATTTTGGTTTAGGCATTAGTGAGTTGTATTTGAGTCTTTGGTCTAAGGAAAGAGAGGTCAATTTTGTCTCTTTTCCTTGTTTCTTCAATAAAAGGGTATTTTGGGAAGTCTAATTGTTAGTGTTTGATATCTTTTAGTTTTAAAAGCATCTAACAGTAAAGGGTAGTTTAGGTAGTCAATATTGATGTTTTATAGGATTTAGGAGAGTATAAAAGCTCCTAAGCACTGTTCTTGTTTTAGTGTTTTCAATTCCAGTTCAGCAATAAAAATGTGAAGATTTTTTTCTTCCATTCTATTTAATCGTCTACTATTGAGAATTTTGATTTTCTGCTCTTGTTTCTTCTTCTAGTGTTTACTCTGACTAACTCATCTACGTTATAGTGTGCTGGTTAGTTAGAATTCTGGATTGCATAGAAGAGGAGATTATAAAGAAAGTGGTAGGGAGAATTTGTTCTTGGGTTGCTGTTGACGATGTTGTAAGCAATGTAACAACAGATTATAATTTTATTTCAGGGAAGAATATGTTTGGAATATACGTGAGGCTTTTCTTCTTCCCTTTTTTTTTTTTTGTTAGGTCTTGGGTTTTGGATCAGGGCTCAATCTGTGGCATGCTAAGCTTCAACTGTTCTTTGCTGTTTTTCAAATAATACATTGCTTTTTCCAAAAAAAAATAAATTAATAAATGTAAGATATGTGTAAATTGGGCATCAAATGAGACAAGTGGTAGAGAAACCATCGGCTTACCTAGAATGCATATCATTTAGATGTATTAGATAATTGTTCTTTGTAGTACCACTTTCCATAGCAGCATCCCTCAAAGTGTACCATGAGGATAGTGAAGGAGGAAATTGATTTCTTAGTAAGTCCAAAAGCATGAATCTACCACCACCTTCACAATATATTACTGGGACCACCTGAAGCATCTGTGCTATGACCTTTCCCAGTCTTTTATCTGGCATCTCAGCTGATGTAATATGCAAAGCAATCATCACAGGAAGAACATTATTTGTTTTTTGAAAATTTGGAAGAACATTTTTTGATAAGTAGAAATAAAAAATAAGGAAGAACATTATTTGTTATTTCTACTTATCAAAAAAATAAACATTATTTGCTGTTTCTTGAGACTTTCTCCCATGCCTCCAAAGAAAAAAAAATGCTAAATGGACAGTGGAGAGGACAAGTTGGTGACTGGATAATGCGGTGTAAACAGCATACCAGCAGCATAAACTTCAAATAGAAACAAGGCTGTATGACACAATATCTTCCTTCGATCCAACAGAGATTCCTTCCATGTATCTACTTTTAAAAAAGTGTAACAATTTTGGAATGGAAGAAAAATACAACTATGACTTTTCATATAAAAGAATAGTGAAGGAATTTAAGGCTTACCTAATCGTGAAAGTATTTCAGACAAGCCATTGTGAATGAAAGAGGTGCATGCATCAAGAAACTTTCTGTTTTGCCTGACCTTCTGCAACACGTCAACCCATGAAGGATTCTCCTGCAATAAATGCTGGGGAAAATGGCAGAATTGCTCAAGCTCCTTACATTTGCAGTTGTGAACATAAACCATTAGATTTATTTTTCGTAGAAAATTATTCATAAAAATGGAAGAAAAACATTTATCTACCAGCTTCAGACATGCCACATAAGAGCCACATCTCTTACCCGGAAAAAACCACCATCCAAAAGCTTCTCTAAGCGACTGGCCACTTGATCTAAATTATCTAGATCCCCAAGTGCAATGCCAAAATCATCAGGTTCAAATTTCATCTTATTCAACATCCTATAAAAGAATGCCATATAAAAACAAACATAATCAAATACCAAATCCCAATATTGTGAAGTCAGAAAACCAACTGAAAACGAGTAAACTATAGTACTATACAGCAGACATTCAGATAATAGGTTTAGACAATATTACTTGAAATTTCTAATTGAAAGCTAAAATTAATACCTTGCAAAAAGAGACAAATAACTCTTTATACGGCCATTGTGTATCAAAATTTCATCCAAAATAAGAAACATGGCTAGGCCATCAGAGAAAGAACTAAATGCAGTTGTAAATGTAGCATTCTTGAAAGACTTGCATGGTGTGCCATTCTTGTCTTGCAAAGAATAAATGGAATCTAGTTGCTGAAGTAAATTGCAAAGCACAGCACTCATCCGAGACGTAACCTCAGACAAATCCATGAATAATGACAGTGAGCGACCAAAAGTCTTCTGTGGTTCTCCTTCCAAGAGAACTTGTGAACTAGATCCATGACCAAACAGAGACAGCTGTCTGTAAATGTTTCTTCTGGCCTATAAGAAGCAACGAATCCATTACAATTCAATAACCAAGTCATATGCATCCAAATGAACAAGTAAAAAAACATCATCTTAGCCACTTTATCTCATCTATTCTATACCTCTTTATTGGTTTCTAATCTAGAACAATCTTAGTTATATCTACAGCATTATCCAACCAAACTAAATGAAAAGCATCATTTTGTCGCAAATAGCCATGTAAAATTCAGACGCTCCATGACTGAACCACGGAATGGTTACCAAATTGAAAATCCAAATTTTGGAAATATTATATAAAAATATCCAAAACACAGAAAAATGAGCAAATGGCAGTACTCAAGTTCAGCTCTAAAACACATCCAAATACAGCAATGGTAAAAGAACTACTAACTTATTGATTCAACAACCAACGTTAAATCAGCAAATGGAAACAACACAAATAACAAACTTGTCACGAGGGGAAATGTAACGATAAATTAATAGATGTAAAACATAGCAACCAGAGACGTACATATTCAGTAAGCTTTGAGATTTCGATGCAATCGTATGAAAGCACAGTCACAAACTTGGAAACTAAAACATTCTCCAATTCAATTAGTGTTGAAATATCAGAATGCTCCGATGGCTCTGCGTGTACACAAATAGGAGCGGAATTCGAGCTATACGCATCAGAGAAAGAAGATGACCCATACGGATCCTCGTAAAGATTCTTCAATAGGTCGTGGCTTCGACAACGCCACTCGTCTACGACTCTTCGGAGCTTCTCCTGCTGCTCTTCAAGCTCCACTGAAAAAAAAAATTAAAAAATAAACTATAATTACAGAAACCAATCCGAAACTAAAGAAAGCGATGCTGAAAAAAAATAAAAAATAAAAAAAAAAACTAGAAATTTGAAGTCTTTCACGCTATCCACTACGAATGAGGGAACCCTACCGGTACCAGATGCCATAGCAGTGGAGAAGCTGGCGAAGGAACTTCGCGGGAGCGGCGCTCAATAGTTCTTTCTACTAAATTGCGCAGGTAGTGCCAACAGAGTCAAAATTTGTGACGAATAGACCTGTCGATGGGGCGGGGCCGGGGCGGGTCGGGTTTTGCCTCTTTATAACAGAAAATTATTAGGCCTGAGCCCGAGCCTAACCTAACCATCGGGCCTAGATCTTGACCGATCTTATATAAAGCCCAAAGCCGTAGCTCGGGTCCGAGCCCAAAACTTGACTTTGATAGGTATTTTATAACATATTGATTATATCATTAGTAATATATTATATATTGTATAATATTTTATACATTTAATATGTGTAATACTTTTTTGCTATTAATTTTTTTATTATATAATATATATTATGTATTATTAACATATATATTATATTTTTGTTATATATTTAATATTATTGGGCCGGTTTTATTTGGGAAAGCCTGAGCCTAAGCCTGTGAACTTAAAATTTTGTCCAAGCTCGATCTAAGATGAGCCAAGTCAAGCCAGCCCGTCGGGCTATCCGGCCCATGAATAGGTCTAATGACAATAGAGTTATCTCCTCACCGAGCGCACCTTACGCTGACCTCACAGCCCCATCCCTTGGGAACATCTCCCCTTAATAACAATATAAAGTACTAAGGGTCCATTTGGTTTGCAGTCGAAATTGGAATCATAATCGAAATCGGAATGGCCCATTCCCATAGTCTAGTTAGTTCATACATGAATGGGAATAGGAATTAAAATCAGTAGGAATGGGATTTCATTCCCAAGGGAGGGCAGAGAATGGCCATTCCCTCAATTGGGGAATGCCATTCCAGCAGGAATGGAAATGGGATTCCGATACCGTCTAACCAAACAATTGGAATCGAAATAGTCCATCCCAATTCCGATTCCAAACCCCTATTCCTGTGAACCAAACAAGAACTAAAATTGTTTCCAATACACCGTGCAATGGGTTGTGACTTGTGAGGTATGTTTCATTGAACTTTCATTAAGATTTGTGTCTGCTTGCTAATGTTTTACTTGGGGTAAATGACATGTTTGGTAAGAATATAAATGCAAATATCTACAATGTAAATACATACAAAATATAAGGTTTTGCACTCTACATATTTGTATGTATAATAAGGAAAAATCTATGATGCAAGAAAGAAGAGTCTAGACCAATCAAAATCCATCCATGAATTTTGATAAATAACACCTGATTGATTATCATGTTGATACCAGTTGATTGGTCAAAGTATTTTTAGATACCAAATCTTTTCGATATTATAGTCAGACCCAATGTATAGATACATACAAAATAGTACAAAATGCAAGGTTGTGCACTCTACATATTTTCATTTGTACTCCTTCCAAACAGAGCCTTAGGCTGCGTTTGGTTGAGTGCAAATCTGAACGATTGCAAATTTGCACTCTAGGTTCAGATTTGCATCCGTTTGGTAAGAGTTACAAAACGCCTATTTTCGATTTTGCCATGATTTTGGTCGAAGTAAATGGGCAAGTTCCGATTGTTTTCTCTTCGAGCGTTCGATAGAGAAGAGAAAGGTTCTACGTCTGCCAAAGAGGTATCTGAACTCCAAATCCATCTTCGAGAGTTCAATAGAGAAGAGAAAGGTTTTGCGTCTGCGATAGAGGTATAAATCTGAACTCCAAATCCATCTTCGAGCGTTCGATAGAGAAGAGAAAGGTTATGCGTCTGCGACAAAGGTATAGATCTGAACTCCATATCCATCCATCTGCCGAGATAATGATAGATCTGAACTCTCATTTCAGTTTTCTTTTCGTTCTTAGGTCACTTACCTCGTCGGAAGAGAGATATGAACTCCAAATCCATCGATTTGCCTCAATACTCCCATCTCTCTTTCTATCTGCGGGTATTTCCTGTATGCAAACTGAATAGTTCTGTAATGTATTCACATGCTATTTTAACATTGCTCGATGAGAAGCGGTTATTTTCATTCTATACACTCTTTTTCTTGGTATTCTATACTCTTCTTGTTAGGACCCGATAGCATATAGAGGTTTGAAAGTTTTTTTGGTAATTACAGAGCAATTGCCAGTTTTTTTTATTAAGATAGAATGCATTTCAACTTTTGTTTACTTTATCTGTTTATTTGTTCTTGGGGATGAGGAGGTATGGGTTGATATTGGCATTACCATTTTTCTTGTTGAGTTTTAAATGTTTGTTTATCTTATTGAATTTATTAATTTAAGTTTCATTCTATAATAATGCAACACAGAGAAAATGGTTTACAGAATAATAAGTTTCATCACATCATATCAGTTTATCTTTTTTTTTTTTTCCTTTTTTATTTTATTTGGCAATGTTGTGGTGTGATTGGTTGTGTTCTATATGATCTAGATTAGGCTTCTATTTTAGATTTGCTGGATAAATCTAGGAAGAGCAGAGGTTGCTGCTGGGACAACTGCTCTGACTTTTTATATGCTGAACAGAGGTTGCTGCACCTGCACCTGCACCTGTAAAACAAACACCAGACCCCAAGGGAAATGGGAGGAGAGAATGGCTTGTTATTTCACACCTCACATCACAATTCTCTCTTTGATTTTGGTGAAGCCTGAACCTCTTAAGGTTGTTATGTTACAACAGTCTGACTCGAGCCAAACCCTCTTCAACATTCAACTCAACTCCACACAATTTTTAGCTTAGCTAGCTGACCATCTTCACAAATACAACAATGGGTCCAGAATCACACTTCACATTTACATTTTCAATTTGTTTATTTTTATTTTTATTTTTATTTTTGTAATGTATTGTTGTATTAGTTGGGGGGCGAGTGAAACAGTAAAAAAAGCTGTATCATTTGCCAGGTTGGCTCCATTAACAGGGGGATGAGGAGAAGAGTAAAACCATTAAAAAGCAATTTGGAAGAATAAGGGATGTGATTGTGAAACGAGAGGAGGAGGTTGATTTGTTTCTTTTGGGCAATTGGGACTTGGGAGAATGATCCCCAATATAAATGATTCTTGTGTACTCCTTGCCTTGCTAGGACATCTTCCATGCTGTTTGCTAATTGTTGAGTCCACTCAAAAACTGTCCTCAATTCTATGGCCAAATATATCACCTCCCTTAAAGATGTGACTGTATGTCCAAGGGCCCATGCTATATTGTATTGGAACTTGGAACTATTGCAAACCACCCTAACCCCCTTCCACACTATATCTCTATATTAGAGATTTATTGTATAGTACACCCTAATATGGTGTGGACATGGGTGATTGGTTCTCAGTGGATTCCTTACCCTTATGGCAGGTTATCAACAATTTCACATATGGAGTTTAAAAATAAAATTTCATGTATGGAGTTTAAATATGTTTATAAGAATTACCCTATTGGCTATGTATAGTCAATGACTCAATGCCTTCTAAAAATATATTCTTCCTGTTAGTAGTATTGTGTTATTACTTGGTTATATGATTTCTAAGCCTCCATTTCTTTTTTGCTTTTGCTTGACAGTTCTTCAGACTGCCTGAAACAACACTTCTCTCCAATCTGATGTTGATTGGACAACAATTTTGTGAAGAAGGCTGGTCAGCACTCAAAAAGAAATACAGTAGCCTTTATGAGGATGATTTGGTACGATATTGCTTCTCTTCATCTTATATTGTGGCTCTACTACATGATACTCTTGGAATTTCATTGGATGATCAAAGGTATTTCCTTTTATGCTTTCTGCCACTTCCTTCCAAGATCATTCTGTGATTATATCATGATCATCATCAATGTTTTCAAAACATCATTGACCCCAAGCAGTTGAGCTGTTCAGACTGGAAACCCGTCACCATTCTGGAATTTCAATCTTTTATTTTACATGTATGAAATTCTTGGGTTGATTATTTCTTTCTTTTTCAGGCTGATGTAGATGGAAACAATCGATTATATTGAATTTATTATTGCAACCATGCATAGGCACAAGCTAGAAAGAGACGAACATCTATATAAAGCCTTCCAGCATTTTGATAAAGATCAGAGAGGATACATTTATGACAGGATGCTCGGGCTGCTTATTCTATGCCGTTTAGAAGCTCCATAGTTCATATTCAAAAAGAATGGTCGTCGTTGGCATGAAGAGGGGAGCGAAACTGGCTTACTTGGTAGAAGAGACCGTTGTATTTGCATTGATGGTGGGAGTAGTTGGTTGTTTTTATGTTGTTATTTTTTACCAAGATGCCCGTTGTCTGCCCGGGCAGCTTGTTATTTTTTATACTTGTTTAATGGTGGGAGTAGCTGGAACACCATTTGGTAGTAAGAAACAGTTGTATTTGCATTGATGGAAATGCCAAACATCAACAAAAATTGTATTCTTATTTGCGTCTTTCAAAACAAATGACCTGAGTGCAAATTGGGTGTGTAAATCTTGAACCACCTTGCATTCACATGAACAAAACATTTTTGTTTTGCACTCTACAAATTTGCATTCGTACTCCAACCAAACACAACCTTAAGGTTCGGTTTGGAAAGAGTACAAATACAAATATGTATAATATAAATACTAAGGCTACGTTTGGAAGGAATTTGGAAAGAGTACAAATACAAATATGTACCATGCAAATGCATACAAAGTAATACAAAATATAAGGTTTTGCACTCTACACTTTTGTATTTGTACTCCTTCCAAACTAAGCCATTAGGAAATAATACAAAATACAAGGTTTTGCATTCTACATATTTTATATTTTGATTCCTTACAAATAGACCTGTTCATGGGTCGGGTGGGACCAAGCTTTCACTCTTCGTTAACGTATTTTTTTCAAGGCCTAAGCCCAAGCTCAAGCCCGGCTCGACCATCGGGCCTACAACTTGGGCCCGAGCCCGACCCTCATAAAAAGCCCGAAACCAGAGCTTGGGCCCGAGCCCAAAGTCAAGTTCCAACTTGTTGCTTCTCTATCGTTGAATAGAGAGAGAGATATTAAAAAGAAAAAAAATGTATATATTAAATTATTAATAAATATTATAGATTTTATATTATATGAATTAGTCGGGCCGAGCTTTTTTGACAAATCCCGAGCCTTGCCGGAAACACATTTGGGCTTGGTGTTTTGGGTCCGAGGTCAAGCTCGTGTCCAAGCCCGACCAAGGTGCGGGCCAGGCCGTCGGGCTACTCGGCCCATGAACAGGTCTACTGGTTCTTTTAATAAAAGGGTAAATGACATATTACTACCCTTTACCCTTTTATTAGCGCTACATATGTTAACTACAAAAAATATTCTCATGTGATGGTGATGTGTTCGTTAAACATTTCTAAATACCCAAGTTACCCTTTAAATTTATATGACCATTTCGCCCTTTCTCATCTGATTGCCTTGTTACTTTATTATTCCTCTCAAAGTAATTCATACTAAAAACATTTGCTCCATTCAATATTTTTTAAGAATCAACTCCCAACTAGATATCTTAAGGCTCAATTTGATTGAAGTGTAAATATAACAATGCAAAGCTTTAAATTTTATATTTCTAAACTTGTATTTGCAATGTACATATATGTATTTGTACTCTTCCCAAATACAAATATGTACAATACAAATGCATCCAAAATACAAGGTTTTGCACTCTATGACTATGACTATGTATTTGTATTTGTACTCATTCCAAACTAAGCCTAAGGCTACATTTGTTTGTGGTGTAAAACGACACCATCGGTTTGGTTTTGTCAGTGTTTGAGTGCAGTGTAAAACTGAAAGGAGGGAGAGATCCATCGTATGGACGCCAAGAATGCAACGGAATAGGGTGGGCGAATTTCAAAAAATTTCTCTCCTCCCTTCTAACTGGGAATCATATTCCCTGATTTTAGAATACAATATTCAATGATCTAATCGAACCAAAATTGAACCAGATTTGAACCAAAGAGAAATGGAAGGGATATACCAGATCCGGAGGAACAGTATTTCCCCACGTTGGTGTTCACGCACAAAGAATACCCCCAAGAACTGCTCCCACTGAAGATGACGCAGTGATACTGAAGCAGAACTAGCAGTGTTCGTCCTACGAACCAAATTCTTCACAAGAGTATGATGGAAGCAAATAGCATCGTGCACAATCAGCCTTTCAGCAAAGATTGATATCAAGAACACCTTCTTGATCTTTCCCTCTCAGAGAGATCGAACTAGGTAGTGAATGGCGGTGGCGGCTGAAGGAGAACTCTAGAGATGAAGTTGGCGTATTTGCTTTTCTTCTCTCTAGAGCTTCTGATATCCTATCTCAATTTGCAGGAGAAGGGTCTGCTAAAACCCTTGGTTCGAATTCTAGTAATTCAAGAGTAGGGTTTCTCCTCTTTCTTAGTAATTAAGAATCCTTCTAATCCTATAAGGAGTTATCCCAATCCAAATCTGTATTTAGATAGGGAATTATCTTAATCCTATATGCAGATTAGGTTAGCCCACTCCTGATCTTATCAAGATATTACCATATTCAAATCTTTATTTGAATTTAGTCTCCAAGAGTGGATAGGGTCAAGACCCAATCCTTTGGCTTGCCCTTATCTCAGATCTGCCCCTTTAAGAGGGTAATTAAAACAACCAGTTCGAAATGGGCTTTAGGCCCAATAAGTATTAGGTGCTCAACAGGTTTTCAAATTGCTCCCTAGTTGGGCTTCTTTGTATGGCGTGGGACCCAAGCATTGATCTACACATCAACCACATGGGTTCGGCCCAATCTTTGTTACAAGGCCTAGCCAAATTCACTGGAAAGCCCAGTGAACCCCTTGAACCCATCACATGGACTCTATGGGCCCAACACTTACACTAAGTGGTCCCTGGGCCAAACCATCTTATAAAATCTCAGGGACTGTGGGCAGATGCAAGATTATCCCATCGGGTATAACTCTAAATGACCTTACACTTAACCTCTCAGCCCATAATGATCAAACATTGCCCGACAAGAGAGGACCTCTCCCTCGGCTGTAAGGAACAGTGTTGCACTCTCTACTCACATGGATCTTGGGAATTAAAACCGTTTGCAAACATTTTGAAACCATACATATCTATATATCTAATATATATAAATTTTGCAAAACAAAATTCCAACAATCGAAATCAACTGCGGCAATTTGGTTTCCATCAGAGAGAGTGCATCCCCGATCATTTCCTTTGTCCGACAAAGGGGTTGATCCTGTCACTATGATCACCCACTCAGATGAATTCTCAGACTGTCCCAACATACCCAGGTTTTGACCCCCGTAAAGGATCTCACTGATTGACATATCAAAGACAGCAGAATCTGACACCAAATGCAGTATCATAATCGAGTCTAGGGGTCAGGCGTAACTTTCTAGTTTTGCCCATCAATCTCCAAGGTCCATGTGCCTTGGGTCTCACCCTGGTGACTGAGACAGGCCACCCCAACACTTGGCAGCACACCAGTGTCAATTTTGGCAGGATAAATCTCCCCAGACTTATCCAACGGATGTGAACATTCTAAACTAACACGAGTTTCATTAAGTGTCCAGTTTAAGGGTCTTACATTGAAACATACCACACAACATGAATCAAATATGCACTTTATTCATTTACACTAAATGTCAAAAGTACATCAAAACTTATTGGAGCTAAGGGTAAACAAAACTGTCTAACAGCTCCCACTTGCACTTAGGTCCAATCTGCTACAAGCCAGAGTCTCATGCTTTCCACGTGTTTCTCAAACACTTTCTGTGTGAGTGGCTTAGGTAATGGGTCTACCACATTATCCGTTGATGCAACCCTCTGAATCAGGACGTCCCCTCTGCCAACAATCTCCCGCAGTACATGGTATTTCCTCTCAATGTGCTTTGACTTCGAGTGGGCTAGATGCTCCTTAGCTTAAGCGATGGCTCCATTGTTGTCACACAACAACGGGATGGGTGATGTATTGGACGGAACCACTCCTAATTCGTGAATGAACTTTTTCATCCACACGGCTTCTTTGGCAACTTCACTTGTGGCAACGTACTCGACTTCGGTCATGGAATCTGTCGTGGACCCTTGTTTGCTACTTTTCCAACAAACAACACACGATCCTATCGTGAAAACATACCCAGATGTAGACTTTCTATCATCTGAATCCAACTGGAAATCGGCATCAGTATACCCTAGAATTTGTAGTGAACTACCGTCGAATACCAGACAAAAGTATTTTGTCCTTCGAAGGTACTTGAATATGTTCTTCACAGCAGTCAAATGCTCCTACCCTGGGTTGGTCTGGAACCTGTTTACTACACTCACCGCCTGAGCGATGTCAGGGCGAGTGCACAGCATGGCAAACATGATGCTCCCTATAGCTGAGACATAGGGAACGTCTTTCATACCCTCAATCTCCTTAGAAGTCTTGTGAGACATCTTCTTTGAGAGAGTGACTCCGTGCCTGAAAGGAACGTTTCCTGTTTCCTTTCTTTGGAGTTCTCCATGCTGTACCTTTTGACAATTTTGTCAATGTAAGCAGCCTGAGATAATCCAATTATCCGCTTCAATCTATCTCTATAGAGTCGAAGACCTAGTATATAGGAGGCTTCTCCAAGATCTTTCATGAAGAATTGCTGCGAAAGCCACACCTTGACCGAAGTCAACATTCCTACATCATTCCCAATGAATAGGATATCGTCCACATACAACACCAAGAAGGTGACCTTATCCCCACTGGACTCCCTATAAATACAGGGCTCATCCGAATTTTGCTCAAAGTCAAACAATTTGACTACAGAGTCAAAATGGATGTTTCAACTCCTAGAAGCTTGCTTAAGTCCATATATGGATCTTTTAAGTTTACATACCATGTGTTCCTGACCAGCAGCAATGAAGCCTTATGGCTGCTGCATGTAGATATCTTCACTAAGATCTCCATTCAGGAACGCGGTTTGGACATCCATTTGTCAAATCTAGTAGTCATGGTATGCTACTACAGCTAGCAAGATCCTAATGGATTTAAGCATGACCACGGGCGAAAAGGTTTCCTCATAGTTGATACATTTTTTTTGTGTATACCCTTTCGCCACCAAACGAGCTTTGTAGGTCTCAATCCTGCCATCGAGGTCTTTCTTCCTCTTATAGATCTATTTGCAACCAATTGCTTTTACCCCGGAGGGCGGATCTACTAGAGTCCAAACTTCATTGGCTTCCATCGAGTCCATCTCAGCTCTCATCGCCTCTACCCAGTTCTGGGAATCTATGTCCAACATAGTTTCCGCGTAAGTCACGGGATCCTCCTCACTAGTCAAGGCTTCCACCAGGTAACTATCCTGGTCATAACCATAACAGACCGATGGCTTGGATACCCGGGTGGATCTTCTAGGTTGGTCACTACTTGGAACCTACGGGACATCTTAATCGTGAGCTCTCCT